ACATGTAAATCCATGGCTGATTCATGTCAATGTATGGCAAAAACCACTACAATATTGTAATTAGCCTCCCACTAATAAAAATAAATGGGAAAAAAAAAGTAGCTAAAGAAAAATGACAACTTACCTATAGGGGGGAAAAAAGCTAATGAAGATTTCCCTCAGAAACCACGGACACCAGAAAGAAGTGGCACCATATTTTTCAAGTGCTGAAAGAAAAGAACTGTCAACCCCAAATTCATACTTAGAAAAAAAATATCCTTCAGGAATGAAGGGAAAATCAAGATGTTCTCAGATGGAAGAAAATGAAGAGAATCTGTTGACAGTAAACTGATGAATGGTTAAATGGAAGATGTTTAAACAGAAAGAAAAGGATAAAACAAAGAACTCTGGAGTATCAGGAAGGAAGAATAAAAAATGGTAGGCCAAAAATATGGGTAAATATAGTAGGCTTTCCTTCTCTTAAGTTTTTAAATCACATTTGATGGTTGAAGCAAAAATTATAAAACTGTCCAGTATGCTTTTAAATATATGTAAAGGATATATTTAAGACAATTATATCATACATAGGGGAGGGTAAAGGGACGTAAGGATAGACAATATTTCCATACTTCATTTGAACTGGTAAAATAATGACATCAGTAGACTGTATAAGTTAAGTATATATAATACCTGAAGCAACCACCAAAAAGAGATACACTCTAAAATAATATAGATAAATCAAAATGGAATTCTAAAAATGGGCAAAAGATTTGAATATATACTTTACCAAAGACATCTGGATGGCGAGCAAGCATATACAAAAATACTCAATATTATTAGTCATTAGAGAAATGAAACTTAAAAGCAAAATGAGATACCACTACACACTTATTATAATAGTTAAAATTTGAAAAAACCAAGTGTTGACAAAGATGTGAAGAAACTAGAATCTTTATACATTGCTGCTGAGAAAGAAAATGTTATAGCCACTTTGGAAAACAGTTTGGCAATTTGTTAAAAACCTAAACATAAATTTACTATACAGACTAACAATCTTTCTCCTAGGAATTTACCCATGAGAAATAAAAGCATATGTCCACAGAAAGACATTTATGCAAATATTAATTTCATTACTACTGATAAAAGTCACAAATTGGAAAAGTCAAATGTCTATGAACTTGTCAACCATCAACAAAACAGAGTATATCTATAAACTGTAATATGAATTTATCCATAAAAAGGAATGAACTATTGATACTTACTACAACATGAATTAACCTTAAAAACATTATGCAAAATGAAGGAAGCCAAGTATAAAAGACATGTTATATGATTTAATTTGTATTAACTGTCAAAAAAAGGCACAATCATAGAGCCTGAAAGCAAATTAGTGGTTGTCTAGGGATGGGGTGAAGATTAATTACAAATGGACATGAGAGAATTTTCAGTACTGATAGAAATGTTACAAACTGGATTGTGTCTACTTCTGGGTATATAGCTAAAAGAATCAAAGTAGCAGCCTAAAGAGTTATTTGCATGCCCATTTGTATAGCAGCACTATTCACAACAGCCAAGTGGTGGAAGAAACACACGTGTGCACTGTCAAATGAATAAGCAAAATGTGGTGTACACACACAATGGAATATTATTCAGCATGAAAAAGGAAGGAAATTCTGACACATGCTACAACACAGATTTTGAGGGCATTATTATAAACAAAATAAGCCAGTCACAGAAAGACAAATGCTATATGATTCTACTAGGGTATCTCAAGTGAACAAATTCACAGAAACAAAAAGTATTGTAGAATGATGATTTCCAGAGCTGGAGGGTCAAGGATGGGTAATTTTTATTTAACTGGTATAGGTATGTAGGTATAACTGGTATATAGATGAAGCACAAGCGGGAATAAAGATTGCCAGGAGAAATATCAATAACCTCAGAGGTGCAGATGATCTGATGCGAAGAACTGATTCATTTGAAAAGACCCTGATGCTGGGAAAGATTGAAGGCAGGAGGAGAAGGGGACAACAGAGGATGAGATAGTTGGATGACATCACTGATTCAGTGGACATGAGTTTGAGTAAACTCCGGGAGTTGGTGATGAAGAGGGAAGCCTGGCATGATGCAGTCCATGGGGTTGCAAAGAGTTGGACAAGACTGAGCAACTGAACTGAACTGATAAAAAGTTTCAATTTTGTAAGATAAAAAGCTCTGAAGATTGGTTGCACAACAATGTGAATGCACTTAACACTAAAATTACTGAAATGTACATTTAAAAATGGCTAAGATGGTGAGAATCTGCCTTCCAGTGCAGGAGATACAGGTTCAATCCCTGGTCAGGGAACTAAGATCCCATATGCTGTGGAGCAACTAAACCCATGTGCACTACAACTAGAGAAAGCCCACGCACAACAACAAAAGAAGCCCACTCGTCACAACTGAAAAAAGCCTGTGCACCACGACAAAGACCCAGAGCAAAGAGTCAGCTGTGACCAAGATAGACACTACTTCACAAAATAGCATTGAAAGAATGATTGAATTTGTGAATGAATGATTGCATGGTGAAGCATTCAAGAAATCTATATACTAATAGCATCTTCAAGGAATCCAGAGATTTAAGCACTTACATTCATCAGAAATGACAAATGATAATATAGCTTTTAACATGAGATTCTTCATCTAGGTATAAAAGGACGTGTCTTCCTTTGGATTAATTTTTTTTTTATCTGAGAAATCTTTTAGGAAGAGACAGAAAGTTCACTTCTTTTTAAGCATATGAATAAACAGAAGGAAATAAAACAACGTGCCTTTATAACTTTCATTGCTTTTTAATCTCACACAAAAAAATTATTTATATAAAAAAATTAAAACACTGCAAATAATAAAAAACTAGATTGTGGTATGACTATAAATTTGTAAATCAGTGCATGGGAGATTTTATGTATGTAAATTTTACCTCAATAGAACTGTTTCTTTTTTAATGTTCTAAAACAAAGATAAACCAAAGTATTTGATTCAAACAAGTCCCTCTTTAAAGAAGTAAATCATTCATCAATAGCTAATAATGGAGCTAATTACCTATTTGACCACCTCATTATCATTACCATTACTGTACATGGGTATAGCACTTTCCAGTTCATAAAATCCACATAATAATTCTGTGAAGTAAGCAAGTTAGTACCCTGAGACATAAAGTTTTTAAAAAATGCCAAATGGCTTGTCAAGGGTTTGGAACTATTAGTACATAAAAAAAGCAAATTCAGTTTAGTTGAACCTAATTCTCCTCAACCTAACTGCTCTTTCCTCAAATGACTTTAAAATAAATTTCCTACCTACCATCATATTCAGGAAGAGTTTGCTCTTTAGAGACAGCACTCACAAAGTCATCTAATTTCACCATTCCATTTTCTGTAAAATAAAAAGTTGAGATGATACATTCTATTATACTTTTGTGTAAAATGTAAATTCACATTTTAATACAACTATGAAACAAATACTTACCCTTCACTTAATCATCAGCTTATTTCTTCTACATAGCCTGTCTCCCTAGATGAGTCTTTCTAAATTAGGTCATTTCATTTCATTTCAACAACTTACTGAGAGTATATTAGTGCCAAGAACTATGCTAGGCACCAAGGACTCAAAAGTAAGTAAGACACAGTCCCTGCTTTTTCAATGTTTATTATAAAGTGCAAAGGACAGGGTAAGGTACTCAGTTCTTAATAGAGGAAAAAGGAAAGGTGCTCAAAGATATGGACCATGAGAAAGTTAATGAGTTTATTTCACATAATTATGAAAACCCAGTCATCCAATATGCTATCCATTGATACCTTGACAACGCTAACCAGCCCTAATGGACCCACATATCCCCATCCCTACCCCCGGTTATCCAGCTAGTCCAAACAACACTTATTTTAGATACAAACCCTGCACAGTGTTCATACTAATCCTGATAAGCAGAAAAAAGGCTGAAAAAATTTAGTGGCTTCTACCCTTTAGATTTTTTAAAATGGGGAATACATGTAAATCCATGGCTGATTCATGTCAATGTATGACAAAAACCACAATATTGTAAAGTAATTAGCCTCCAACTAATAAAAATAAATTTAAAAGAATTATTTTGTATTGAGGTAACGCTCATCTATAGCATTGCATGCTTCACGTGTACAACAGTATATTTCTATTTTAATATATGCTACAGTGTGCTCACTACCAAAAATTTAGTTTCCACCTGTCATCATACAATTGATCCCTTTTACCCACTTTGTTCCACCCCCAACACTTACCGGAGAAGGCAATGGCAACCCACTCCAGTACTCTTGCCTGGAAAATCCCATGGACGGAGCCTGGTAGGCTGCAGTCCATGGGGTGGCGAGGAGTTCGACACGACTGAGCAACTTCACTTTCACGCATTGGAGAAGGAAATGGCAACCCACTCCAGTGTTCTTGCCTGAAGAATCCCAGGGACGGGGGAGCCTGGTGGGCTGCCGCCTATGGGGTCGCACAGAGTCGGACACGACTGAAGCGACTTAGCAAGAGCAGCAGTAGCAGCAGCAGCCCACACTTACCCCTCTCGTAACCATTTACTCTGATCTCTACTCCTTAGATTTTTTTCTTAAATCAAACCTTCTTTCTTATTTACCTTAACTAACAGTTTTGCTCAGGGTCTAATAGTTCACTCCTAATGTTATTTCTGTCAGTCTTTTCCCAAAATGTTGCCTCTGCCCTCTCTTCAACTGAACTTTTGCTGTGGAAAATTCTTACTTAATGATAAATCAACTTCTCTAACACAAAAATCTTTGTTAGAAACTCAAACTCTGCCCTAAACTTAGGCTGATGAGTGAGATATGCTATTTTATTTCTAGATGCTATTTAATAGCTGCTTGCCTTGATTAAGAATCACTAGACCTAAATTCCTAGCTACAGTACTCCCTCTACATTTTAGAATCTCCAATTATTTCTCCTTGGACTCCCTAGGCTATTTACTGAGAGATTTTTGAACCTCTGGGGTATCATAGTCTTGCTACTTGAACCTCTCTTCTACAACTAGATAAGCTTTCCCCAGAACCTGTCCCACACCAGAAGGCAGAGCTAGGAATAGTGATGAAGAACCTTATGAAAGAATTCTGAAATAGAAAAGACCTACCTAGACCCTCCAAACCATTCTATTATACCAAACTTCCCGGAAATCGTTTTTTTACTACTCTCAATTTAAAAATAATGTATATATTGGTGTATAGTTGATTTACAATCTTGTGTTATTAGTAGTTTTTGCTCCACAGCAAGGTGAATTAGTAATACATATATCCACTCTTTTCCCATATAGGTCATTACAGAGTATTGAGTTAAGTTCCCTGTGCTATACTTATTAGTTTTTAGTTATCTATTTTATATATAACTACTTCCAATTTTTGTTTGTTCTTTCCAAATCTTCTTTAGAATGACCCATGCCATTCCCAGTTGAGAGATCTTACTCCAACATTTAATACTATCATGTGAAAGTATCTAATTTTTTTTCAAAATTTTGATATTATCAGTCTCTCACCATTTCTAGCAGTGTCGGTCACAATCTTCTTGAATTCTTTATCTGATAAAGTAATTCCTATTGAAGGCAAAATGGACTGAAGTTCTTCTGCATCAATGTAATTTTCTTGGAGTTTTTTGATAGTTTCACAGACACTTCCTAAATATACAAAATGTGGAAGACTATTCAGCAACATAATTTATGTGTCTTAGCAATAATTGGCAGCTAAAATCTTTTTCTTGTAATCAGAAATCAAGTTTTACTTATCTAATACCACCTTAAAACTCTTCATATTTCTGTTGTATCTTACATTATACCTAATCTTTCTCTTACAGCTCAAACACAAAACTGTCTTGAAATTCTATTAACATTTATACCTGCAGCTTGTTTCTGATTAAAATATAATGGAGTCCAAGAGATTAAAACATCAATGTGCCATGTTTAAATTTCAAGATTTCAGACAAAAATTGAGAGTTCTTTCCCTACACTTTACCTACCATGTTTTCAGTTCACAACCTTCAAAATTACAAAATCCTAGCAGACACACATGACCATAATAAGCCTCCTTATATAATGTACTGAAACGGGAAAAATATCACCTCTGTTGTATTCTGGCAAAAATGTATACCCTGAATTTATTCATGAAGAAATACAAGAAAACCCAAAATGAGGGACATTACACAAAACAACTAGTCAATACTCTTCCAAAGTATCAAGGTCATGAAATATTGAAAAACCATCCCAGATTGAAGAATACTAGGACACATGACAATTAAGTGTAACATGTGATCCTGAAAGAGATCCTGGATCAGAAAAAGGACATTCATAGAAAAACAGTCAAACTTTTAATAAGGTCCTATTAGTAAATAGGACCTATATTAGTAAATATTGTTGTATCAGTGTTAATTTTCCAGTTTAGATCATTATACTGGGGTTATAAAAGATATTAATATGTGGGAACATTAGATGAAGAGTAGGTAGAAATGTTCTCATTTCTGTGTAATTCTTATTAATTTAAAATTATTTAATAAAAAAAATTTTAAATGTTTTTTAAATGTAAATCAAGTGGCAGTCACATTTCACAGATGCTCAACCATCATCAGTTTATTTGGAGAAGTTGTAAGAGATGAACTATTTTATACTTTTCCAAATACAGAATGTTAAGTATGACAGTGGTAGATGAAGTCATTTGATTTTAGTGATACCAGCAAGGTGGATAACCACTTTCTACCACAATCCTGTTCTACCCACTGGCTAAATGCCTACTACTCCATTATTCCTTTAATCAGAGCTTTAATTCTCAATGAAATACAAAAAAACTCAGAGACAGAAATGAGACATGGCATAAAAGCAGTGCATCAGTAAAGGAATCATAATAAACATCTTTATGCCTCCTTAATAGATCACACTCCTTTTTCAACTGAGTTATTAGTATGCATTAGCGTATGTGTGTGTGTTAGTCGCTGCATCGTGTCCAACTCTTTGTGACCCTGTGGATGGTAGCCCGCCAGACTGCTCTGTTCACGGAGTTCTCCAGGCAAGAATACTGGAGTGGGTTGCCATTCCCTTCTCCAGGGGATCTTTCTGACCCAGGGATCGAACCCAGGTCTCCTGCATTGCAGGCAGATTTGTTAACATCTGAGCCACCAGGGAATAAGAGTCACTAATGATTCACAAAGCATTCATCTTAACAATTACACTCAGTACTAAATACAATTTTTAAAGGCTGGTAAATTTCTTGAAATAAAATAAATATAAGTTAAGTAACTCCAGCTGAGGCCTACAGAAAGGAGTGTTTAATTGGGTTCCCTACACAATATGTCCCCTGGAGAAGGGCAGGGCAACCCACCCCAGTATTCTTCCTTGGAGAAGTCCATGGACAGAGAAGCCTAGTGGGTTTTGGTCCATAGTGTTGCAAAGAGTTGGATACGACTGAAGTGACTAAGCATGCATGCACATACATAATACTTCTATGACATAAGTAGTGCATAAGGGAAAAACACATACTGGCTGGGAAGTCACTGCTCATCTTTGAGGAATATCATAAAGCCTTAGGGATCTGGGATGTATACTATTAATTATTTTCTCTTGATATTCCCACATCCATAAGAAATAATACCTGAACCGTGTGGAGATTCCTTAAAAAACTGGAAATATAATAAAAATAAATGGGAAAAAAAATTTTTACTCAGCTATTAAAAAGAATTCATTTGAATCAGTTCTAATGAGGTGGATGAAACGGGAGCCTATTATACAGAGTGAAGTAAGTCAGAAAGAAAAACACCAATATAGTATATTAATGCATATATATGGAATTTAGAAAGATGGTAACAATGACCATATATGCAAGACAGCAAAAGAGACACAGATGTAAAGAACAGACTTTTGGACTCTGTGGGAGAAGGCAAGGGTGGGATGATTTGAGAGAATAGCATTGAAACATGTATATCATCATGTGTGAAATAGATCGCCAGCCCAGGTTCGATGCATGAGACAGGTACTCAGGGCTGGTGCACTGGGATGACCCTGAGGGATGGGATGGGGAGAGAGGTGGGAGGGGGGTTCAGGATGGGGAACACATGTAAGTCCACAGCTGATTCATGTCAATGTATGGCAAAAACCACCACAATATTGTAAAGTAATTAGCCTCCAATTAAAATTTAAAAAAAAGAATACCTGAAGTACTATAATTTATACCTAAATTTAAATTATTTATAAGTACCTAAATTTAAATTAAGGAACTCTGAGCAAAAATTTCACATAGACTTCATATATACTTGGTTAAATAAATGACCCAAAAAAAAGCATTTCCAAAGGAAAATAGGCCCTCTACTTTCTCGGGAACTTGTTCAGTCGCTAAGTCATATCCGACTCTGCAACCCCATAGACTGCAGCACACCAGGCTTCCCTATCCTTCACCATCTCCTGGAATTTACTCAAACTCATGTCCATTGAGTCAGTGATGCCATCCAACCATCTCATCCTCTGAACTTGAGTGATTCCAATTAATCACTCAATAAACTTCTCAGCCCAAGTTCAGTTCAGTTCAGTTCAGTCACTCAGTCGTGTCCAACTCTTTGCAACCCCATGAATCGCAGCACACCAACAGCCCAAGTTAGCTCCTCACAAAAGGGAGCATCTGGAAAGGAACTGCTATCAAAACCACAGTATTGAATCCATCAGCCTGAATTTCAAAAGTGATGGATATTCAGAGCATTGACAATTGAAATGTCTACAACTACTAATACTGCTTACTTCAGCTCATTTCTATAATAACTGAAGGGCCCAGATGTTGTCTTACATATATGATACTGACCCAGAGCATTAACTGCAGTTTTTTCCTTAGATGAAACTTGTTTTAGAAGGCTAGAGCTCCTTCTCACAGCTGGCTTCTGAAGTTTTGGGATACTAAAAATATCACTTTTATCCAGAGTCTTTTTGAGGCCTGAAACATGCTTCAAGTCTTGTGGTTTAGACTTTGAGTCATGAATTTCAACTTTCTCTGAACTTTTCTTAAAGTTCATGCCATCCTTTGAATATGGTTCCTGGAACTCTATATCACCGCCATCAACCTCATCCTGGAATCTTCGTATTTGCAAAATATTTTTTGGTCTTTTAAATTCATAGTCATCATTCTCACTCATAATTTTATGATTTTGGAGGCTCTTTGTATTTAATTTTTGGAATAATGATGATTCAGACAGTCCAGAAGCTAAAGTGCTTTTCTTCCTATATTGTGGATAGCATCCTGATACATTTGATAACTTTCTTGAAGTAGCTTCATCCGAGGCTGCTCCTTCCATAATTGCTAAGCAAGAGAAACATATTCCATTAATTCATTTACCTGTACAATTTGTAATGCCTTTTAAAAAACAATACTTAAGTCCTCATGAAAACTGTTCAAGAAATTATCATTTGCTTAAATACATCAGATGAAGTTAATAACTAACAGAGCTGATGACCAAAAGGTTAACTATTGACTAGGTTAAATATAATCTACTGGTTTAATATAGTAAAATACTTCCATCCGACACTATTCATAGCAACACTGAATCTAAAGCAAAAGCCTACTGAAGTACATGGTTCTCATTCCCCACTCTTTTCTAATTCAGAAAGATAATAGACTAATAAGCCAATACAGATACAAATCCCTTAGTTACGAGGGTGCAGAAATATGAAGAAGTTGTAAAGGGAAATTTTTAAATATTTACAAAGTTAGAACACTTTATAAATAAAATGATACTCTCCGAAAGTAAGACAGTAAAATAATTACTCTCCTAAAAATCTGCAGCATTTGCAGGAGGTTAGTAACTTCATACATAAAAGAAAATTTTTAGAAAAATATTAATATAATATCCCAATTGGGGCTTCATTTACAAAATCCATCTCATGGCTTATAATAGTACCTTGCATTTGAATAACACATTTTAAAATATTTCAAATGTTACAACACTTGACCCTCAAAATAATTCCATGAGAGCATCAAGTTCCTATAAAACCAAAGAAAACAAGAGACTTTTAATAGAGTAGCAATACAATATTGATTATGAAGACATTTTATTTAGAGGAAAAGAAAAGTTTCTTAGCTTAGGGTGTATTACAATGAACAACTGAAGGAAAGTGTTTGGATTTTAAAAGTTTAGAAACTTAAAATTATTATTATTCTTTTTTTGGTAATTGACATATAACATTATATTTGTTTTATGTATAAAAAGTCTAGAAATTAAAAAAAAAAGTCTAGAAATTCTTAAAGATAAAGACATTGACCTCTAAGCGCTACCTCTCAAAAAGGAATAGGGTAAAAATATAAAATCTTTGACATTTCTGCTATTGGCCAAGACACTATAATAGGAACTAACTTTACCCTCTGACTTTAAGCAACTAAAAACTGGACAAGACATGTCAAAAAGAACAATTTTCAGACATTGGACAACAGGTAGCATAGGACAGTAATCCTTTAAAGAAGGGTAACAAATGAGCTAAAGCCCTACCATTGCACTAGCTTACTATCTGGACAGTTTCCACAGCACAGGAAAGTAAAACCTAAATAGAGCCCACTGGTCTGAATGAGAAGAGATATGAGATTAGAAAGGCCAGAGGGGCTAGAATATGAGAGCAAAGAGAAAATAGAACTGCTGGGCTCTGGAGATCAGCGAAGGGGTCTGCTTGACACTTTGGCTGAGTGCTGATCTGTACTTACATGAGAGAACATGACCTAATAACAAGGAAAGAATTACCAGAAAATTATAGGTAGAACAATTCCTGTATCTCACTGAGAACTAAAAATAATTTATGATCTCACCAACCAAAGCAGAAAGATCTTATAATATATGGGTCATCTAGTAGAATCATCTGAAGAACGCTACCTTAGTAGTGGAGCTAAATTAGCATTAAAAGCTGCTCTGAGATCACCCTTAAAAAACTTTAGAAAACAAGCTTCCAAAGGACCTAACTGATTCCAAGTAACTCAACTGCATCAGGACAAAATCCAACACTATTTAAAGGAATGCTACAAAATTCAACAAATAACATAAACTTCACAATGTATAGTATCCCATCAAAACTACTAGGCATCTAAAATAATAGGAAAATATAAGCCACAATCAGCAGAAAATCAATTGATAGAAACTTGTTCAGAAATGGAAGAGTTCATAAAACTATCACACAAATACATTAACACAGTAACTATTAGCATATTTTATATATTCAAAAAAGTAGAGGAATATATTAGCAAGTCGCTTTTATTCTCTCTGTGTCCTTCGGCCACTTGGCTTTAGACATGGGCATTGATAATAGAACTGTGTAGCAGAGTGTTGTAAGTAAATCACTGTTTTCAGCTAAAGAAACAAAAACTAGAGCTCTCGGAGATTAAAAAAAGCATTAAATAGACTGTGGAGAGGAAGTAGCTCAGGAAAATAATCTCATAAAGCTGCTTATAAACTCCTGCACTCACCCCTGACAAGCACATGAATTTGGCCCTAAACAGTACACCATAATTCTGAGAACTAAACTTCAGGGCAGACCACAACCCAGGTTCCACTTTGGCTCTGGATGACACACAGATTTGAATAGCACTGCAAAGGCTATGAAAAACAAACTGATATTGAAACTGAAAAACATAGAAAATTAACTGAAATTTGTAGCCTAAACCAAATTGAGTCAAATCCCTGCCAAAAGAAGATTTCAACATTTTCCATAGAATTTCCACAGAATCTTAGACCCACAGTCTCACAACTTAATCTTCAAAATGTCCAGGATAAAAATTGAAAGAGACACGTGTACCCCAATGTTCATCATAGCACTGTTTGTAATAGCCAGGACAAGGAAGCAACCTAGATGTCCATAAGCAGATGAATGGATAAGAAAGCTGTGGTACATATACACAATGGGATATTACTCAGCCATTAAGAAGAATACATTTGAATCAGTTCTAATGAGGTGGATGGAACAGGAGCCTATTATACAGAGTGAAGTAAGTCAGAAAGAAAAACGTCAATACAGTACACTAACGCATATATATGGAATTTAGAAAGATGGTAACGATAACCCTGTATGCAAGATAGCAAAAGAGACACAGATGTATTGAACAGTCTTTTGGACTCTGTGGGAGAGGGTGAGGGTGGGATGATATGGGAGAATGGCATTGAAACATGTAAATTATCACATGTGAAACGAATCGCCAGTCCAGGTTCGATGCATGATACAGGATGCTTGGGGCTGGTGCACTGGGATGACCCAGAGGGATGGGATGGGGAGGGTGGTGGGAGGGGGCTTCAGGATGGGGAACACATGTACATCCATGGCAAATTCAAGTCAATGTAAGGCAAAACCAATACAACATTGTAAAGTAAAATAAATAAATAAATTTTAAAAAAATGTCCAGGATATAATTCAAAACCACTTCACATGTGAAGAACAAAAAAATCTCAGTTTGCATGGGAAAAGACAAGCAACTGATGTCAAGACCAAGTGGAAAAAGACGTTGAAATTGCCTTATAAAAACGTTCAAGCAAGGAGTTCCCAGGTGGCCCAGGGGTTAGGAATTTGCCTTGCAATGCAGAGGACACAGGTTCAATCCCTGGGAACTAAGATCCCACATACACCTGAGCAACTAAGCCCAGGCACCACAACTGCTGAGCCTAAGCATCATAACCAGAGAGCCCATGCACCGCCATGGAAGATCCCACAAGCTGCAACTAAGACCCAACACAGCCAAATAAATGCATAAACTTCTAAGCATCTATTCTAAAAATGCTCCAAATTACAGTGGAAAAAAAAAAACCACTCAAAATAGAAAGAAAGTCTCAGAAGACAAAATAAAAGATACAAACAAGAAGCAAATTTGGACATTTAAAACTTAAAAATACTATAATTAAAGTAAAAAAAAATTAATCAGATAGGTTCAACAACATAATGGAGATGTCAGAGGGATAGTTTATGAAACTTTAGACACATTAATTGAACTTATTCAATCTGAACAGTAGAGGTAAATAAGAATGAAAACAAAATTAAGAAGTGTCAGGGATCTGTGGGACAACATCAAAGAGGGCTAACATTTGTGTCTTTGTAGTCTCAAGAAGACAGGGGAGAAAATGTGGTGCAGAACAAATCTTTGAAGTTACAATGACAAAAGATTAAAGTTTGGCAAGATAGATCCAAGAAACTCAATGAACCCCAAAAGGAAAAACTCAAAAAAACACACTCCCAATGCATCATAATCAAATGGCTAAAAACTAAAGAAAAAAGAAAGTATCTTGAAAGCAATCAGAGAAAAACAGTCTATTTTATTATTTGGATAACATCAGATTTCTCTTCAGAAACTGTGGAAGTCAAAAGTAAAAAGAAAATTTTAAAGTATTGAAAGAAAATAACTGTCAACTCAGAATCCTATATCCAATAAAAATATCCTTCAGAAAGTAGAGAAAATAAAGATATTCTCAGATGAAGAAAAATTAAGCTAATTCATTTTTAGTATATCTGCTCTTTTAAAAAATGATTAAAAGAAGTTTTTCATATAGAAGCTTAATCCTTTAAAATTATTAAAAGAATGATATTCAAAAGACATGTAGGCAGTCAATATGAAAGAAGGAAAATATATAATGGCAAAGATTTGGTTAAATATAAGACTATTCCTCTCCTCTTGATAGTTTAAAATACGTTTAATCATTGAAAGCAAAACATTATATTATCTGGTATGCTTTCCAAGAATGTAGTTGTAATACATAAGAAAATCAGAACATAAAATCAGAAGGTAAAAAGACCTACACAGTGGTAAAATTTCTATATTTTACTTGAAAGTGGTAAAATATTTACTTTAGTATACTTTAAGGTTAAATAAAGATACCCTGCTATTTAACTTATATGCAGAGTACATCATGTGAAATGCCAGGCTGGATGAAGCACAAGCTGGAATCAGGACTGCCAGGAGAAATATCAATAACCTCAGATATGTAGATGACACCATCCTTATGGCAGAAAGTGAGGAGGAACTAAAGAGCCTCTTGATGAAAGTGGAAGAGGAAAGTGAAAAAGTTGGCTTAAAACTCAACATTCAGAAAACTAAGATCAAGGCATCCAGTCCCATCACCTCACAGCAAATAGATGGAGAAGCAATGGAAGCAGTGAGAGACTTGATCTTCTTGGGCTCCAAAATCACTGCAGCTGGTGATTGCAGCCATGAAATTAAAAGATGCTTGTTTCTTGGAAGAAAAGCTATGACCAACTTAGACAGCAAGTTAAAAAGCAGAGACATTACTTTGTCAACAGAGGTCTGTCTAGTCAAAGCTATTGTTTTTGTTAAGTATGGAT